TTATTCAGGAATACTTTGTCACTGAATATAAACATTAAATTATATTTTCAAAAAATTATTAAACAAATGTATATTCATCCTACATCATTGAATTTTTATTAATGCGATCTACAATACCGCGTAAATAAAGTTAAATGGTGCCACTAAAAAAGGTGACCTCGATTTTTTATTGATAAAAATAATTTTGTTTGTAATTTTTATTTTTGTTGTAATTCATTGACGATCAAGTACCGATAACTTTTTATTTTAGACATTTTTTTGTCACATTATCGGAAGTGACGAAAAAATCATAACGAATATTACGCTATTTGTACAAAGATCTATGCAAATATAAATGTTTTTCTATATATGTCTACATATATTCCCTCCACTTTAAAATTGCATTGACTATCGAGATTATTGATGTGATGCGACGTCATATTGCGAAAAAAGCTAGAGAATGTGAAGCAATCTAAAGAAAAGATACGCGAGAGTATGAAAATCGTTAATGTAAAGTCGTTGATACTTCTCTTTCTCATCATAAAAAGATCCATTACATATATTTCAGCTTTGACATCGATCGAATGACTTAATTTCGAATGAAGAAATGAATTTTCTCTATCAAAAATCAATTTATAGATTCGCTTGGAATATTTTTAATATCAAAATTTATACGTTTCATTTTTTACTCGTCTTTCATTTTTTAGCATTATCTATATTGTCAATTGCTATGATGTATTACTAATATTTCTAAACACAATAAATAACGTAATAAAATGAATAAATTTTATTTTGCAGAAAAAGTGACAAACATTCTATATAATATATAATCTTTGGATAGGCAATATTGTTTTATTCAATATCATATTTTCTCCCTCCTCCTTCTTCCGTAGCAGTTGCTTGAGAAAATGTTTGTTGTTCGGCTCGTGTGATATCAAGGATAGTATGTGTACAAACGATACGATCGGTATGGATCAAGCTGAAACAATGGTCTATTTGCTTGGTTCAATCTTCTTGATTCTGGTGCGTGCATCTTATATAAGGGGTGGCGCCAACAGAAACGACGAGCTTCTCTAAAGATACAATAGATAGTTGCTTTACCAATTACGTCGAAATCGTCGAGGAAATTCTAAAGACCGAAACTTTAAGAACATCTGCTGACGTGATTTATTCCATATCGCATAAAGATACCGAAATAGCGTGATAGCAGTGATTAATTATATTCTCTCATCTCTTTCTATATATATATATATATATATATATATATATATATATATATCACGCGAGCAAAAAATATCATTGTCAAAGTAATTAATTATTCCTGAAAATAGTACAAAATAACATACGATCGACGAAAATATTAAACATGGGCAAAGATCGAAGAAATGATATATTCAAACGATTGTAATTACTTTATTTCTTAGATTTCAATAATCTGATTTAAAGTTAGGGCTCATTGAACATTCTGAAATTCGGGGGAAGACAGAACAAAGTACGAAGATGTTCGAACGATCGGTAAACTTTACATAAAGCTCCGTTGGATGAAAACCAAGTCTCGTTTGAATGGTCTTTCCTGAAGTTCATTGCAACTGCGAATGACATTTCGTCAGTGGCTTGTTTATTCGGTTACCTTACGAATTTACGGTTTCGTTCTTAATTAAATTGAAAGACTGACGATAAGAAAATAAAAGTAAAAAATACGATTCCAAATTTGTTGTCGAGTTCGTTCGTAAAACAAAAAAATAAAAAAGAAAGAAAAAGAAAAAAGAATTATTCAATTTGAAAATTAGCAATGTCAAGCAACGAATTTACTACGCTTGACTATAGTATACGGCGCGACGTTTCAAAATAACGAAATATTTTTAGTTATAGAATACGCTTTGAACAAAATGGATAGATGGGAATTCTTTTTCAAGCAGAAATAGGAGGCTATCCGTCGACGGAACCAACGGGCGTACAAAACGATGGGCCTTCGTAAATCACAGCGACAATGTACTTTGTTAACTTAACAAATTGGTCGATGGAAGTAACGTCATGCTTCCTCATTCTCTTCGAGATATAAAAGATGATTAAATGTTCGAAAGACGACAGATAGGTAACCAAAAGTTTTCTATAATCGACTACAACGATTTTTGATTATAAAGTTTTATCGACGATCGTTCAACGATATCGACAGCCATCTTCGAGAAAAAAAGTGTGAAGAAAAAAAAATAAGATAGATTCCCTATAATGGGACAGGAAAAGTAGCAAAAGTATTCGCATTTGGAGAAATCGATGCGGAACCCTCCGATCTCTAAGGACCGACCTTCGTCTTTTGAAACGACCTAAACTCGGACGGCAACACCCAGTATTCGTGACTTCATCTTTCTTTATCTAGTCACGACACTCGATTTCAATAACGATTTGCGTTTAGGTGTCTCCAAGGGAAAGAATTGTCGCGATTTACTTTGGAACGTTCTCTTGAAGGGAAAAGGAGAGAATCGTCTACTCTTTAGTCCTTTTCGATTCTCTTTTTTTCTTTCTCTTTCTTTTTCCGAAGTTTTATTCATATTAAAAAAAGAAAAAAGAAAATAGAATTTTTTTCATAGAACACCTTCGCAATTTATTATTCTTACCTTTTTCATAATATAATAATTAATAAATTTGATATTTAAACAAGTTATAAATAGATGCAAAAAATGCAGTAGCTTTCAAGAGCTTACCGAGATTTTCCACGAGATACATACGTCTCGAATTTTTCAATTTACTCGTCTTTGGGTGATTCGATTCTACAATAGAGAGAAGTATGTCACATATGTATGTATATAAAGAAATTCTTTTGTCATGTTCGAGAAGAATAGTAGTAAAGCTTTTCAACGTGGGAATCTTTATCGAGTCTTTGGAATCTCAATAAATTCGATTCCATTCTCGTACTACTCTCAATCGTTTACAATTCAATCCTTGTAACACAATTCTGTGAATTAGCTTTATTCATGGAAAAATATTTATCCTTGGAGTTGTATTAATGATTGTATAAAAGAAATATCTTATATAAATGTTGTATGTTTGATAAATGTTTAATTGTCAAAAAAGAAAAAAAAAGAAAAAAAAGTTGTTTGAATGTATTTTGTTATTTAAATATAAATCGATTCTAAAAAAAGAAGATCGATCATGTTCGTAAAAATATTGTAACATATACATAATTAACGAATAAATGATTGGAATAAAATGGCATTTGATCGTACCTAAAGGTAAGCTGAAATCTCGATATACTAGAAACGCGTATATCCCTATTCGAATCTTAATGCGAATTCGAAGATAAGTGCCGATACGTGGGACGAAGCATATTCCTATCGTGCGTTGAATATGAGAGAAGAAAGATAAAAAAAGAACGAACGCGAGAGAGAAATACGGATTCCTAGTTCTATCTCTAGGGAATCGATTTAACGGTTACGTCTTTCGTTCTATTCAGCGCTTAGTACGAACAACGGAGTTATCGTAGGCTTTCATTTGATAATAGCCGTGAAAAACTTTTATCATTTTCTTTCGAGTATATAATTATTATTACAATGTATCTTATCTCGTTAATGGTTACATCTGAGAAGATAATTAAGGGATTTGTTATGCCGATAAATACAGATATGTGCGAGTAATGCACCGTTTTGAGAAATGCTTACCCAGTTTGATTTACAGCCACTCACATGCGGCTATTATAATTAGATATACATAGTAGCAATGTAAAGGTGATTTATCGTATAATTATACAATGGATGTACGTATGTATGATGTCACGAACAGTCGTATCATTCTATAATATCAATATGTCCTATAATATATATATATATATATATATATATATATATATATTATATATTTGATTGATATAATTTTATATATATGTATGTCATCTGGTATTCTTCTAAACAAGATCTTTATATTTTACGATAAGAAGATAATTATATTCGAAAAATAAGTAACAAGTAGAATACCGATAAGTTTATCTCTTAGAAAGTTGATTAATTAATTTCATTTAATTATCGTTCGAAGCGATACCAACGAAGAACGAAGATTGATTCGTTCTTTCAGTGAATTAACTCTTAAGAAAGTTTTACCTCCGAAGAAGATGAAGTTTCGTTTTTCACGAAGGAACTTATCCAAACCCCTAATCAAGAACATAACATAATTTCAGTTATCGTCGTATCAATTAAATTTCATTCGGATAAGTTTCATTTTATATTACTCTTATCAAATGAACTTGATTACGATTGGCTAGAAGGTACGAGTAATAACCTTCAAATAACTAGCACCATTTTGAAATGAAAACGAATAAAACCAGTTATCAGAAAAAAATTATATTTCATGATGTCATAATATTGGAATAATTAACAAGGCTGAAAATTGAAATAAATATGTTATGAATCCAATTATGGTATTGAATAATTATGGTATTGAATAATATTTATTGATTATGAACAAATATTTATTTTAATAAGACAAACTTGTAACGATAATACAGACTTGTAATGATGCGCGATAAACTTGTAGAAAAAAATTCGCAAAAATATATTTATTAAAATAAAAATCATTTTATTTAATAATCTTTCATAGCCTTCAGTTCCAAAAGTTTCTTCGCTTTTCCTTCAACGATAGTAACTCCTTAAACGACGCAATTTCTTAAGCGAAAAGCATGACACCAGGTACGGTAATTATTCGAATTTAATTAAAACTGGTTCTCCATCTACTTGTGCAATGGTAAAATCATTAATTGAAGTTAAAGGAAGATGGTAATGTAGCATTATATATATATATATATATATATATATATATATATAAAAGTGTGTGTGCGTGTACGCACATATACTACGAGTAGTATCAGTATCTAATATATAAAGTAAATGAAGCAATACGTTATATCAACCTGACAACGTGACAGTTGTTTTTGATTCTTCTATGCTCTAATTGTTTTTCGGCTTATAATTAAATTTATTTTATAGAAAATAAAATTTGTGCAATATTAAATATTTGTTTCAAATCTGTTACAGGTGCTATTTTCACGGAGGATCAGAAGGACAGTCCCTCGGAATTAGCTTTTAAATACGCAATATACAAGATCAATAAGGAGAAGACTCTTTTGCCAAATACAACGCTGGTCTACGATATTCAATATGTGCCTAAGGATGACTCTTTTCGGACGTCAAAAAAAGGTAAATATTAACAACATAAAAAATGAATAAATAAAAAAATAAAAAAATACAAACGTTAAAATATTCTATAACGTGGCAAACATCTATATGCATTTGTAATAATGTCAAACAAATCATCTGTATCATGCATTTATATATCAAATATTCACACAAAGTTAATTTCATATCAGTTAATTAGCGGTTTAATAAAAACGGCACATGCAAATTGATTCGATTAATAAGAAATATAGGAATATAAAATATAATCCGAATATAAAATTCTTGAATTTAAAAGTATTTAAAAAGTAAAACTTAAAAAGGAAGTACGTGATCGTTTATTTATTTTATATGTATAAGTTATATTATTTACAATCCGACATTACAATTTAAAAGGCTGTCTTATCTATTATAAATGTTTTGTATTTAATATAAATTTATTGATTTGTATAAAACGGAAATATCGAAAATATTTATCTTCAATCTGCAAGCTGACTCATCAACAAGAGGGAATAGTTTTTAAGCGAAAATGCATCATAAGCATGGTCATCATTGCAAGTTAAGGATATTTATATGTATATATGTATATTAGATTCTCTCAAACAAGAAAAAGCTTTTCCTTATTTCTGAGATGGCACGTTCAATACGTAAATTCATGGTTGAATGGTAAGATGCTTTTTAAAGACTAAAGAAATCCAGGTCGATGTATTTCGATAAGACACGAATTAAGGATGCTCCAGTCGATTTGAAGTATATGCTTAACTAATATGTAAGTAATATTTCTTAAAGAATATATTGAAGTATATACTTGTCTTTTCCTTTTTTTCTATTTTCCTTTTATTTTATTTTTTTTTTTTTTTTGATACACGAGTATCTTGTCTAATACATATAATTTATATTGACATAAATGAATACATCGATAGATAGATAAATATAATTTTTCTTATCAAAATAAAAAATGTTGAAAAAATGTAATCTCTCGATAAAAAAAAAAAAAGAAAAGAAAAATATTAAAAAGGAAATGATCATTGGAACGAGAAAGTATTCTTAAATATATATATATATATATATATATATATATATATATATATCCTAGTGACTTGATTCATGTTATACTGGACATAAGCATCGACAATTTTCAGAGCATATTCCTGATTGGCTGAAATCCTTGAGTATCCCCTTTAAGACTGACTACTACCCTTTTCGAGGCAATTGCGTCAAGCTTTGGTCCGTTACATAATATCGTATTCAAGAAGAGATCCCACAAATTTTTGAAAAAGTATTTTTTTGTTCCGAAATTAAAATGAGGTCTAATATTTTTACATGAACTTAGTTTTAATTGTATGCATTGAAACAAATTATAATTATATTTTTCGTAAATTTTCTTACTGCGTGATATTGATCTATCGCTCTCTCTTTCTCTCTCTCTCTCTCTCTCCCTCTCTCTCTTTCTTTCTTTCTTTCTTTCTTCTATATATTCCTTTTTTATCTACCTCAGAAATTCTTCTACCTTATACAACACACATCTACTCAATAGAGAAACAGAGTGAATCTCCAGACACGGTATATTGCAACTAGTCCATTGTGCGAAAGCTCTTTCTAGAATCATACAAATCCTTTTCTATAGAAGGTCTTGCTAGAAAATTGTTATTTATACGAGGTGTATCTTCTTTATATTTCGAGTACTTACCATTGCGTCGTTCATTTATGAGAATCCAAGTAAAGTCCGCAAAAAAAGGAAGGAAAAAAGAGAGAGGAAGTAAGCGAGGAACGTTTGGAAAATTGAATTCACGTTAGAAAAATCGATTCAGTACGAATTTTCATGAATTTTCCAGAACGATCAACGTTCTAGATGGACGCCGTAAAATACGATACGTGTGTAGATTTAAGAGAGAGAGAGAGAGAGAGAGAGAGAGAGAGAGAGAGAGAGAGAGAGAGAAAGAGACAGAGAAAGAGAGAGAAAGAGAGAGAGAGAGAGAAAGAGACAGAGAGAGAGAGAGAGAGAGAGAGAGAGAGAGAGAGAGAGAACTACATTGAGAAAGCAATTATGGAAAAGTTATATCCGGTAATAGAAGAAGTATTAACTTTTATAGAGTTAAAGACGATACATTTTATTGAAATATAAATAAATAAAAATGCGATTGAAATTCTTTGGAATTTTTATGAGTTTCTCTTCCTGCTTTTTTTTTTATTATTATTTAAAAACGTCGATTTAAATAGTAATTGAAACGTTTCGTCATTGATTACTTGCTACACTCTTTAAGTACCTTCGTGTGTCGTAAAGATATGAAAAAAAAACTCAATTACGGAATGAGCACGAGCGGGTTTTCCGAAAGAATGCGCTTAAACTCGATAGGCTATAGGCAGCAACCTATCGGTCGATGACTCGCTCGGAACCAAATACCGAAGGGTAGTCGATAGATTCGTCGCTGATTTGGAATGGCTTCCTCGATGTTATTGATTTCCATACTATAGATCGAAGAATGTAATATAAATCGTTGGGGGAGTAATCAGAACGTGAAAATAACATTGAGAAGTGTCCACAGAAAATATTATTATTCTATAAAAGATTATTCGCAATAAAATATAATCAGAAATAATTGTCTTCGATACTTATAAAAATGAAACATTTTCGAATAGTCGAAATTACGACAATTCGATATTAAACGTATTTGAATTAATTTTCAACAAAAAAAAAAAGCAGGACGTTAGATCATAAAGTAAATGTCAGTTTTCAATATTCAAGTTGTTTATTTTCTTGTTGAAATCATATATGTATTGAATATTTATATATATATATATATATATATATATAAATATAATATAATATATATATATATATATGTATTATGTATGTATGTATGGGATATGTCTGTATTATGTATGTATGTTAGGGAATAAGAAATAATAAATTTGAATAGGGGAAAAAATGCGATCGTTAAAGAATTATGATAACGATGATGATGATGATAGTAATGTTAGTAAATTTAATTTTTCTTTAACTTCGAATAATATTTACGTCATATAATAAAAATACAGAATGTAACAATCGAAAGTTAATTAGAGTCATATATATAGTTCGAACTGTTCAATGTTAAAGCATCCAACACCCATTGTTGGATAACAACATCAATATGACATGCATGTGATGATCCGGTTGGAATACATACAACCGTCGTTTCTACCCTTGCGATTCAAAACAAAGAAATTCCGGAACTACTCATGAATAATTCGTATGTTGTCCGCAAAACGGTGCGGAGTGTGCTTAAACGCGACAAGCGTATTTTCAAAATCGAGTTCGTTCATCCTCTTCTATTTCCTCTATAGATCCTGTCTATATTGACGCCGATGTCAACGCCATTAGATAATAATAATACATGCCAGAAATAATTTTCAAGATAAAGAAAAAAAAAGAAAAAAAAGAAAAAAAATAATAAAAATAATAAAAAAGAAAAAATCGTAGAAAACGTATTCCTGCGTTTCGTAACTGAAACGATAATGGATAAGGAAACGGACCCTTCTAGAATGTATCAATTTCACTCTCCATTCTACTCGCTTTTCATCGACGATATGTACACGTAAGAGTCGTAAATCATGTCCGTCCATATCCCATCAGTTCAGTCCGGTTCAGTACGTAATACATCGCTATTGATGATCGTCAAAGTAGCCTACCTGCGTATACAGATTCGATCGAGTGCCAAACAGAGACAGACGATCGGAAAAGTTTTGCATAAAACTTTTCAATTGTCCGTAGAAACGAGAGTAATCCATCAATACTATAGATATTTCTAAATGATAGAAAGTATTTATTTGTTACACATTATCATTTCATTTAAATATAAGACAAAATTTGTAATTGTTATTCGTTAAAAAAATGGGAAAAGTTATATCATTGAAAGTATATTAATGATTGATTATTCGATACAATGTATTTTCTTTTAAGATCAATGTACTTAGATGCTTATGAATTGCATCGGATGAAGATACATCGTCTCGTATCTTACATAAAATTTTCGAAAGCATTAGATCAAGCAATATGAAATCGACCTGTCAGAAACAATTATCCAATTTTCACAACCCTTTTTTCTCGAGTTTCGACTTGGAGTCGCAAAATAGCATCGTTTTTTTTACCACCATGGTTATCTTCCTCCTTTTCTCATCATCTTAGCGAAGGAAATCTGCCAAATTATAAAAAATAAAACGAACATATAAACGACGAAGTAAGATATATCAGCGAATTCGTATGATGGAAACGGCTTTAGATGTTTATCTTACGTTTGAGTAGTTATTATACGAAATGAGAAAGAAAATTTGGATGTTTCAGCTTGTAAGCAACTATCGAGATCCGTTCAAGGTATTTTTGGACCTTCGGATCCTCTTTTAGGAGCTCACATACAAAGTATATGCGAAGCTTTAGACGTACCTCATCTTGAAGCAAGGGTCGACTTTGAGCCAACGTTCAAGGAATTTAGCATAAATCTTTACCCGGCTCAAGATCACCTCAACAAAGCCTTTAAGGATCTCATGTCCTTTCTGAATTGGACCAGAGTTGCCATCATTTACGAAGAGGATTATGGTGAGTGCAGTACCTTTTCAACGAGTTCTCCTTTGCAGAAGGGTAAAGTTAATTAAAATTCATGTCCCTTCGTGGAGTAGTATACAACCGGCACTCTATTCATTTATCAAAACTACATAGGCAATTAATTTTTATCGTACGCAAAACGAAAAAACTTTTTTAAAAATTTATTTCGACGATGTTGCAAGATCAAACGACCTTGTTAGGTTCCATTAGATCGTATATAGATTTTTTTCTGAAATATCTTTTGGATATGTCGACGTTTTCATGCAAACAGAATGTTGGAATCAGTTGGTGTAAATGGTGGATGATAGTAACTCGTAGTAACGCGGATAGAACCCGAAAAATGTTGAACTGTCATATCCACGCGGACGTAACTACGTTTAAACGCGACTCTGTAAACCTTGTAACGTGAAACCCAACATTTTCTCCTTTATATTCCGTTTTAATGGTGATCTTCAAATACGATTCAACTCGGTTTAGGAAACGAGTTCTGCTTAAAAAAAAAAACAAAAAAAAAAAGAAGCCATTAAGGTCAACATAAATCTCAACATGTTTTTTCAACTCTAAAAGAAAACGAAAGGAAGACAAATTTATTCGTACAGAAAGGCTTTTGCCTTCTTCACGTCTTTTCTTATCTTAACAACGACCTTAAAAAATGAATACTAAGATCTCGTTTTGGCCATGTTTAGAAATCTTAACATTTATTACGCGCAATAAAACGGTTGGAAGAACCGAAATGAATGTTTCGAATATATATCAGTCGTGTATCTACATGCACGGATTTATTGGAATCGAATGTTCATTGGTTGTAACATCTATCGTTTTTGTCATAGAAATTATTATTCAATTCGTTTTGATAAACTCGATACATTCGAATCATGAACAACAAATCTTTATAATAATTTTAATATTTGTACACGAATTTCTTCTGCTTTAAACATAATGAAAAAATATATCTTGAATTAACTTTCAAAAGAATACGTATTTATCAAGACAGAAGAAAAATCATATTTATTAATTGCATAAAATTTGTAGAACTCGATTCAATGAAATGATTAAAAATAAGTGCAATTTCGAGATAAGGATATATTCCTAACCTACATAAATTCTTGAAATTGTTCTCCTTCTTATATATTAATTAGATCTATTACACATTCCCTGAAAGAAATCTTTTGATATTAGTAATATCTAAGAGATTTTATTTCGTACGATGAAATAGACCAATGCACGTTCACCTCCGTACTTATCTACAATATATATCTGTCGGTTATATTCGGTGGTATTTCAACAGTGTAACATTTTGAAGGAGAATATTCCCATACGCGCCCCTCCAAATATTCATCAGCGGAGTAACGTCCCGTTTTAGTATTCGTTAAAACTTGAAGAGTAGAAAATAGTTTTCGTCTATCCACCGTATTTCGGATGCCACGAATTTCGAATGTTAAAATTTCGACTACCAAAAGTCGTGACCGATCAAATTTACGATGGATTATAACCGTTCTTTCTATTTTTTACTCATTAAAGTTACGGCACTATGAAAGAGTAATATCCTAATAACTAGATGAGTATAAAGTAAATGGCATTAGCACGCAAAGATTAAATGATGAGAAGAACGAGGATTTTCATATTCTCTCGGACACTCAGGAACTTCTTATTAATCGCGAGATAAAAAATCGCGAATAAGTTTCTTCGTTCAAGTAGGTAAGTAAGTAAGTACCTACGACTTATAATAACGTTCGCGTATAAGTTCTAGCCTCTTCTTTCGAAGTTAACGAACATTGATTTCTTATAACAAGCAATTAAATTACATTCAAATTATTATCACCGATTAGAACGTTTTCATCCAAAATCTATTAATTTCTTTCAAAGGAATGAATTCTTTCGATAATCTTTCGAGATCACATTATACATATACATTAATATCTACGAAAAATCTTATATTTTATATCTTTCTTGTAAACTGGGATAAAAAATTGAATAATACTATGTAATACAAATACATTAATATAGAATTATCAAAATTCAGAACATTAGATAATTCATCAGATGAATTAAGATCGATCGGAATAATAAATAAATTAAATAGATTATTAAATGTTGTTACTGTAAATGGAAGTCAGAAGAAATGACAATAGAGAAGTGGATTCTTCCTAAATTCTTTTTGGTGGTCCTAACATACTATCCTCGGTATCACGTCATAAATTTTCTAACTATAAACTCTAACCATTCCCTCGTAATAGTGGGTTACTCCGTAAAGTAGACTTTCTTCCTACCCTTGAACGCTTACCTCCTTTTCTTTGCTTTCTCTCTCTCTCTCTCTCTCTCTCTCTCTCTCTCTCTCTCTCTCTCTCTCTGGATCTTTTTAAAACGCGCAAGCGCGTACCTATACAAGGAGTCGCATCCGCGGTGAACGAGACGTCGTAATTGGACGATGCATCTACAGAGACGAAGTTTGTTATTTTTCAATTTAACGTTTTTAACAAGAACAACGAGAAGAGCTTCAGCGAAAGTTTTCTCTCGCGTCTCTCTTTCTGCAATTTGTCTCTTTTACCCCTTTCCTCATCCTTCTTCTCTCTTATTTTATTTCTTTTATCTTTCCATCTCTTACCTCCATTATCTCTCTTTCTCTCTCTCTCTCTCTCTCTCTCTCTCTCTCTCTCTTTATTTATCTATCTATCTATCTCTTTCTTTACTTTCTTTTACGATGTTGCTCAAAATCAGTGATTTCAAAATAAAATGAAAATATACAAACGAGGAATATTCCTGGTATTCTCTAAGGAATGTGCTGTTTTTATTCGTTCCTTTTTCTTCTCCTTCTTTTCTTCTTTTCTTCTTTTCTTCTTTTCTTTTGCTTTTCATTTATAGATGTAATAGTATATAGATATGTACTCTCGTTTAAAGATAAACGCGAGAAGTTGAACGCAGTACCAGTAGAATGAGATTAACCTTAGAAAGAAAATTGTGACGGTCGAAAGTACTAGATCGAATTAGATGAGGGATCGACGACCTGCTATCTCCCTCTCTCCCCTCCCTCTCTCTCTCTTCTTCTCTATCTATCTATCTATCTATCTATCTATCTATCTATCTATCTATCTATCTATCTATCTATCTATCTATTTATCTATATTTCTACCTATCTCTCATTCTCTCTCTATCTCTCTTGCCACCATCGTCCCCACGAGTTTTTCGAACAAGGTAGAAGCTGTTATAAAGAGACTACAGATTGCCACTTCGTCGAGTTCTCTTCGTACGGTACCAAGGCCTCCATTGTTTTCCAACAAATTGAATTATCCTTCTTTCCTTCATCTTTTGTTCTTTCCCCCTGCGGATACCACGAACGACAGAAGCGCATTAAAGCACATAACACGACTACGTTTTTAACTTTTCACGCTCGACGAAAGACTTCTCGTATCTCAAAATCATGTTCTTTGCCACTCTAGATATATACGTCTATATATATTGTGTGTATATATATATGTCGTGTATACCACATACAATCAAAAAGTGATAAAAAGATGGAAAGAACATTTTTATAGGATTTTTATTCTTTCTACGTGATATACATCGTAATACATTGAGTTTACAATTTATGACATATTTTATAATACCGTGGTTTTTTTCTATTTATGATTATGATGAAAAATGCTTTATAAGGTAGATTTATTAAATTAATTCTTTCGTAATAAGCTATATCAATTTATTCTAATCAATAATAAATAATCGATAGATTATTTATTTGTATTATCTCGACAAGCCTATGATTCTATTTCTTTTTGTCTGTAGGTTTATTTAAACTACAGGATCTTGTAAAATCACCACCATCAACGAGGACAGAAATGTATATACGTCAGGCAGGACCTGGATCTTATAGACAAGTTCTACAAGAGGTCAGACATAAGGAAATTTTCAAATTAATCGTTGATACGGATCCAGCGCACATGCAACAATTTTTTCGTGCCGTAAGTAATCTCTAGTTTTGTTTGAAATTGAAGTATTACAGTTTCATAGGTTTCATCTCTAACAATGTATTTTGAACAATGCAAAGCTATTTTTTTCGAAGTTTCCGCTATAACTATAAAAAAATGATATAACTGAAACTAGAAAAATAAACTTCGAACAAAAAACAAAAATTCGTTTTATATATATATATATATATATATATATATATATATATATATATGTATAAAATTTATATATCGACCGAATAACTTTTTTATTTCTTGTATACTCTCAGAATCAACATTCGACATGACTCTTTGTTTTTCTTGCGATATAGCGTGTCGATAGTAATAATTTCTCTCTGTCCGTTCGCGAAGAAAATTGCAAACGTTGGTACGATATTTCGAGAGAAAAACATTTGAGACTTAGTTCGTCTGATCCATCGATCGATTCTTGAGAAAATCGAACTATTCTGAAGGAAGTGTTCGTCGAAGCGTGTCCTTGGCACGTTCAGGAGCAAAGTTCAATCGATAAAACGCCCATAAAGGTTTAGATAAGATCGTACGCGAGAAAAAGAAAGAGATACGAGAAAGATGTGACTCCTGTTGAAAATGTATGGAACTATTGCCGAAAGAGTTTCTTTTCGAGAACCCGCAAATTTTATTTTTCTCCATGGAAATTCGATAGATAAAAGTTTCAATTGTAATTATTTTGATTAATAGAAATATATATATATAACGTGATTAAAATTTATTCTACTCTTTTCGAAGTAATGAAAATAGAAAATAATTTAAAAGAGAAGAAAATATCTCTTACTCTGTACAATAAAAAAAAGAAACAAAAGAAAAATAAAGAAGAAGAAAAACCGATAGAAATAAAACCGATAAAGAGTAACGAATAAAGAGAAACAGAGAAGCATGGAAATTACATGAAAATTATAATGATTATTGAACTGTTTTGAATGCAATATTATCGAATCGGTTAAACGTATGAAATTTTTCAATCTGGTCGGATCATCATTTTGATGATCATTTTTTAAAGATAAACGGCCAAGAGAAACGTTATCAATACATAGATAAAGAACGATATCGCGAGATTCGCATTTCATGATTATCGGCCGATGTCTGTCAGTTCGTTCTCCAACGAGAATAAATGTATTTTATTTTAATCATATTGAGTTATCTCCTGAACGATTACAATCTATATAAAAACAATATTACGTACATATATATTTATAATATAGTCGTTTAATAAATATAGAAAATTATTTTTAAATGTTTGATATACAGAAAATATTTAATGGAATACATCAAAAGGTCCTTTATATCAATTATATTCGTATTTGATACAAAAGATCAAAAAAGAAAGAGAGGAATAGAGAGAGAGAGAGAGAGAGAGAGAGAGAGAAAGAGGAACAGACAAATATCGTCCATTTTTGAACGTTCATTCGGCATAGTGCCATTCGTTGTGCGAGCAACTAGATCGTGAAATTAAATCATGCGAATTGTCAGCGGTAACGAAACAGATGTCGAAAACAATTCATGCGAATTGGGCCAACTCCGCGACAACGTATTCGTTGTTCTCGTGTTATACGTAGGTAAAGAGGAACGAAAAGGTCCATAGGAGAGGCAAGGGGTTTCCCGCAATTTTCTACTCTTTCTCCAATCGGCAGGTTGCGTACGATAAAAAGTAAAAGATTTTGCATAATCCAACGAACCATCGACGCAACACGGATATGCACGCTTGAATAATTTTCTCTCTCGCTTGTTTTCGTTGAAGTTATACGAATATTTTTGTACGGTCAAAAAAAATCTATTAGAGTGCTTTGAAAAATTTTGCCATTTATATTAATGCCATTCTCTCATTCCAATACTCTCGAATGTCTCACATTATTTTTCTCTTTTATTTTTTATTTTATTTATTTATTATTCATTTTAATCTCTATCGAGCCATCGTGCATTTTTCTCCTCTTCTAAATCCACTAAAACGAATAAAATTCGTTTGTCACATTCTTACATTCCTAAAGATAAAAGCTTTTGTCCGAAAGCTCAATTATTTCAATGCAATGTGGATAGTACTATGTCGTTGATAGCTACCCGATCGCTTACAGAACTTGATCGTTTTATCCTCCATTTCTTTTTTCTTTTTCAGATATTGCAGTTACAAATGAATGACTACAGATATCACTATATGTTTACAACATTCGTAAGTACTTCATCGAATTATTTTCAAAGATCTTTTAAAACGATTTAAAAAAAAAAAAAAATTCTACGAAATCATTCGAATTATTTCAAATAAATCGTAGGATCACTATTAAAATTAGTCGATTTATTTCTAACATCAGTAGAACGACAAGTAGTTGAATGTTAGTACGTGAATTCGTATTAAAGCAAAACGGTACGCTTTGCTTCTCAGTCTGCAAATTTACTTACGTTAATCGGGAGAAATTTACGAGGAGTATAGATCGTATCTACTACGTGTTTCTCAGTGTATATAACTCATCTAACTATATACTCACACAAAATTTGATTCAAAGACGAGCTACCGCCAACGAAACTTATTACCTTGATATTATCGAAATTTTTAGTGTTAAAAATTACACTATGACGAACGAAATAGTGTTTACTTAACACGTATTATTTTCAATTCCTTTCGAATATAAAATTCATTTAATTATTTATTAACATTGATTTTTGATTGGATCAACGACACTGAACTTCAAATCAAATTAATAACGAAAGTTCTCTGTCAAATGGAATTTATAGATACGATATTCAATCGTTTAAATGTACCCGAATGAATATGGAGCGAATGATGAAGTGCAAAACACGTGGAAAACAGACTCATCGTCAATGAAAATTAATGAAATTCATGTGGTCGAGTTACATAGGAGTAACTGAGTGATAGAATGATCAATATATATATATATAAAATTTACTTATCAGAGCTCATCGATTATCGATAGGAATCTATTCCCGATCGTGATCTCGCAGAGGTAGTTGGCAATATCGGATAGAATGTTACGAATGTATTTCTTTAGTAAATAGGAAAACTCGTTATTCAACCAAGAGAGAGAGAAAGAGAGAGAGAGAATTTCTGTAATAAAAACCAGTTTATAGAATAAAATTATTATTATTTAAATCTGTAAATCTCTTAGATATTACGAAACTCGTTTCGTTTTACTTATATAAATAACGAGATTTAAGAAAAGAGTCGGTTTTAGAATCCACCTTGGATAAACCGTCTTCCATTTTTCCAAGTCCGTTGGACGAAGATCGAATGGCTTCTCTCTTGACTGCCTTGGAATAAATCAAAAGAAAAACGAGTTACTGCAGAAGACAGCGTACGCGTGCTTCGTACAGAATCGCACAGGGTCGCGCCGTTAGAATCGTTATCGCTATTCGAAAGAAAGGACCAGTGAGATAAAGGAATGACGGACGGATGGAAAGGAAAAACGGAATCAAAGAAAAGGGAGAGGCTCCTTTCGAAACGAATTCCTCGCCAGAATCGTTGGCGTTCTTCTGAAGAACTGCATTATTTACTTTAACGATCTCCCGTCGCGCGAGTGATGCGTCGCGACGCGTCTGGGTTGCGTCGCCGTGTAATTATAAATCACCTGACGCTTTTTCTATCTCTCTCTCTCTTTCTCTCTCTCTCTCTCTTTCTCTCTCTCTCTCTTTCCATTTCTCTCTCTCTCTCTCTCTCTCTCTCTCTCTCTCTCTTTCTCTCTCTCTCTCTCTCTCTCTTTCCATTTCTCTCTCTCTCTCTCTCTCTTTTTCTCTCTTTCCATTTCTCTCTCTCTCTCTCTCTCTCTCTCTTTCTCTCTTTCCATTTCTATCTCTCTTTCTCTTTCTCTCTATTTCCATTTCTATCTCTCTCTATCTCTTTCTCATTTTTTTTTCTCGCCACGAAAACTAAAGAAGAGTGGACAGTCGACCAATGGAAATCGTTGAACCATACAACTGGTGATTACGGTGTCATTCACCGAACCACGTTTTCCCTTTTTTTTTCTTTTTCAGTCCGTTTTTTCTCGTTTCGAACGTCCAACCGATTGGACACATCGCCGCTCGACTTCCGATCGTCAGCGGAATAGTCATGGCACCTTAAAAATAGAATTTAAATCGAAATTCGAAAAACACTTGACGCGTGATAATAGATACGATAGAATTAAGGATAGTTAAAGAAAATGGATAAAAAGTTATTTATATTTTTCGTTTAATCTTTAATACCATCAATTTGTATTCGATTTCATGAAGATCCGATGAAAAGAATTTGATAATAATAATTTTCCTAGAATAATGAATATTACTTCAAACTTCGCGATTCGAATTATGGAGATTTGACTTTATATATTTTCGAAACTATTTATTTCTCTTGATATAATTAGTTACAATCTTTCATTCGTGATTCATTCGTTTGTCTGCAGGATATCGAAACGTTCGATTTAGAGGATTTCAAGTACAACAGTGTTAACATGACGGCGTTCCGCTTGGTCGATCTCGAGGAAGCCAAGGTCGCCGAGACGCTTCGACAGATGGAACGCTTCCAGCCGATTGGCCATGCGATTTTAAATAAAACCGGTGTGATTCAGGTTGGTAGAAATTTCAAACTAAGAAAAAAACCTGCCAACATTCCTTTGGTCGTAACTCGTATCGAGCGTGGGTAAAGCGAACGATTTTTTTGTCGGGAACAATTTTTTTGTCGAATTGTTTTCTCTGATAATCTTTGTTCTTTTTTCTTTTAATAAGATTAAAAATTAATTACGTTTAGATCGTGAGAATTCATGACGCTCGATCGCCTCTAATGAAAAAGTTTAATCGAACATTTAAGGATACTCATCAGTGTTTCCCTTATCCTTCGTACAAAGAAACTCTAAACGTTTTTAACGTGATCTCATCTAAGTTGTGGCGAGTGTAAAATGATGGGTTATATTTTGATAGTATTACAACTTTGTGTATTATTTTTTTTTGCTAATAGGAAATGTTACCCCATAAATGTTAAACGGTTAAGTGATGAACTTCATATCTTTAGGTCTTCTTTTTAAAGCGTCAAAGAGTATCAATTTCTTTTTTCTGAAGGAAAGTATTAAAAAATATTTAAAAGAGAAACATTCGAATAAGCATCAATTTCATATCTTTCGAATTAAATGATCAATATTTGAAGTTAAATCAATCAGTTTCGTCGCACAAACGGTTTAAATATGTTTCAGGCAGAACCAGCTTTAGTGTATGACAGCGTACAAGTTTTCGCCCACGGATTGGCAGCATTGGATCGAAGTCATGACCTAAGACCTGCCAATTTATCCTGTGAAAAAGAAGAACCCTGGGACGACGGTCTTTCACTTTATAACTACATCAATTCCGTACGTACGTTGCGTATCAATTCTTTTCGCGATCATTTGAGAATTTACAAATGCGTTAATCTAATCAACATTTTCCTTAACTTCCTGGTCCATCGACGCGTGGAAATAACTGCTGTTATGCAACCTAGAGATGAACAACCTTAGTGCACTTCTGAGTTTCTGAGTTTCTCCTTAGATACTTGAGATGAATATTCGCTGGATCGAGACCAATGCAGAATAATAAGAACCGTAACTTGACTAACGCTCGTTCCTTCAAATATTCTATATTAAGAATAGGTTCAAAGTTCTTCTGTCTAACAGAACTTAGTATATTAGATCGAAAATTATTAACTTCTTTTGTTTAAATAAACTTTTTATTCCCTCTCACGAAATAATTCCATCCGCACAAATCATAACCAGAGCTTAGTAGAAACTTGCCCAGTTGGCAGAAACTTTACACCAAATATATCCCAAAAGTTCAGCTAAATGATGACGTCGGCTATTTTTACAATTTTTATGAGATCCCTTAAATCTATATATCTTCGTACAAAATCTCAAATACAGCCGGTACTCTTATATTACGAATTGGTACTGCCCTTATTTTGAAAGAAAAATCGTACCTCGTTAAAAGGAAAGTCTTGGACTGACAAGGAGAAAAAAAGGAAAAAAAGAAAAAAAAACAAGGAAAAAGAAAGAAGACGCGAGAAATTGAAACGATCCGAAGGAAAAAAGGTAACGAGCCACAAGGGAGAATGAATGTTCGTGGACGAGAAAAGATTACTTCGGGATATTCAACGGGAAAAGTCTCCGGTATTCGAAATATTCTGCATCTAACAGGGTGACCAATTTTCCTTATTATCGATTATCGAAGGGATTTAATTGGGTCAAATGTTTCCTCTCGTCATTTCTTTATTCGAACTACGGCCAAGATAGGCACCGTTGTAACAAACTCTCACGAGAAGTCATCCGAATCTTAACAGACTCGAAGACCAACTCGGAGAGATTCAGGAAGATCTCTCGAAAGTTCGTAGACTGGATTATGTCTGGCGCCTAGACGATTCTCTTTCTCTCCCTTTACCTTTCCCTCACCCTCTACCTCCTTCTCTCTCTCTCTCTCTCTCTCTCTCTCTCTTTCTCTTTATCTATTTATATCTCTATCCATGTCTAAATAAGGAGCCAACCAAATTCCTAATTTAATTTAGACAGATAGTCTGCTACTGGATGTGTCAATTATACTTACATATATAATCGACCAATTGACAGAAACTACAAAACTCCTTTATCAAAGGAGAAAACGACGTTCCTTATTGATCGCTTTTCTTGAAGATAAATGTGATGATATCTCTTTTTAACTATATATCACTTCTTAACAGATATCTAACACGCATCGTGATATCAAATAAATAAGAAATTATTATCCGGAGGGATTGAATTGAAAATTCATATTAAACAAAGGGAGAAAAGTAAAAAATATACTCAGATTTCTTTTTCAAGAGTTTTTAATACCGTATGTCTTTTGAATTGTTTTACAATTATGATCAATGAAACGTTCAAGATGTATTAAAACTCGTAATTTCTTTTTAAAAAAATGCATTTTCCAAATACCTTTTAATGAGCATTTTTGTATTCGCTTTTTTAGAACTTTGAAACGCGAAACAAAGAGGTATATCAAACACCACGACGACGAATGTTTCCATTTCGAACGCGTTAACGAGTCGCTAAATGTAAATTTTCCGTATTTTCAATGGGAGCGACCACGTCCTCGCAGACCTTTGAATACGTACATATTAAATAGTCGTGGTTATAACTGTGAAACGTTTCCAATCATCTATCTTTTTATTTTTTATATCTTCTACTTCTCTAATTTTTTCGGTTTTTTTTTGTTCCTCTTTTTTATCTTTTTTTTTTTCAAACTCGCTTTAATATATACGGACTTTACCAGTCGTACTATGTAACATTAAGTAAACATTAATAATGCTGATCTACATTGAGATTTATATTTCGTTTCAAATTTTTTTAAACGCCAACGATTTCTATAACTTTTCCAATTTCATTTATTACGAAGTTTTAATCGCAAATGTTAAGCAACGAAAGCGTTAAAGAAAAGAAAAGGAAAAGAGAAACGTTGCACGAAGAATCAACTTTTACTGTTCCTATAGAATTTCTTGAATAGAAGTTAAAGATAAAAGACAGGGGAAAAGCGGAGAAATAGTTATTATGTGTAAGTTAGCACGATGTAATCCATCGGATTAGTTCAATTTCAAGCTGTAATGTGAGGTTAATATACGTTCTCTTGGCGTGTCCGTGCGTGACATACGAAACATCTCCGTGTTCATAGAAGCGCGCGTGCGAGCTTCCTACGTGTCTATCCTCCTACGTAGGCGCTTGTATAGCATTGTGTTTCGCGTTTATATATATAAGTGTGTGTGTATATGAGAGAGAGAGAGAGAGAGAGAGAAAGAGAGAGAGAGAGAGAGAGAAAGAGAGAGAGAGATGGGATACGAGACGCAATGAAATAGGAATACAAGCTAACATAGGTTCCCCTCATACATTCGAACTATTTGCTAAATACGCTGTTTAATTATTCATGTGTCATCGGTATCTCTCTCTCTCTCTCTTAACTTATGTCTTTGAGTATATTCGATTTAACGTTCCCCATTTAGAAAAATTCTATTGTTTTCTACCGTTCTTTATCTTCCGACGATGGAAATAATAAAACAAGAATTAAAACTGCTTTTATCTCGATAAATACAAAACCAAAGAGATATTGACAAAACGAAATAAAAAGGATTTCGTAAAAGTTCGTTAAATTTGCTTTATTCGAGCGTGCGGTTTTTGATAACGGGATTATAAAGGGGCAAAAAAAAAAAGAAAAGAAAAAAATAAGAGAAAAAGAAGAAATAAAGAAAAAACAGAAGTGGAAGAAAGAATGAAAAAAAGAAAGGGGCTGCCTTTTCCCTCGACAATCAACTATCTGGAGCGTGCGCACTCTAGTAGAAAGTTCCAAAGGAGCGAGATGGAAATTGAGTTGTCCGATCCTGACGTTCGCAGACCAGGAAGCGCATCAAAGCGCGTCCTGAATCGGCCGAGCACAGCGTGTCGGATGCACGTCGTGAAAACTTACAAGACGGAACGATCGGTGCTTCCTGCGAATTATTCCGTCGACTCATTCCTCTCTTCCCCCTCTCTCTTTTTCTCTCTCTCTCTCTCTCTCTCTCTTTCTCTCTCATACATTTTTTCTGCTCCCTCCTCCTCCCTCGCACCCATTTTTCCACCCTTACCCCCTGTTCCTGTCCCTACCACCCTCCCACCTCCTTTTACAGCTTTATAAGTTTTTCTTCATCGCTGTGGAACGAAGAAAATTGGCCACGTGCTCGAATAAGTTCGGCAAAGTCGAGCGAATAATCGTGAAGCTTGGAGAAAAATGGTAAAAAAATCACGAGAAGGACTTTTCTATATTCCTCTGGTAGGACGAGAGAACGAAAAACGCAAAGAAGTAACGCCACCTTCGCCTACTCTTCGCCGATTCTCTCTGTCCAATTTCGCGGAAAATCGATTCCTCATTGCCATTCCAACTCTTTGAAAGATCTTGATATTCTTTACTCTTATATCACTACTTTCGTACGTCCCTTTAGTTTTCATTTATTCCACTATGACGTTCTCAAATGAATTATTTCGAATACCGAGAGAAGACGATCGAATTTACAAATCTCATCGAAAGGAAGAAAAAAGAAAAAAGGAAAAGGAGAAGGAAAAAAAGTTACTCTCCAACGAAACTCCGTCGATCATAATTCAAATGCATAGAAAAAAAAGTAAGGACGACGAGAAAAGATTTTAATAAAAAAAAAAAAAAAAAAAAAAAAAAAAAAAAAAAAAAACGCGCGATAAAAAGTTTATGATTGTTATTTAAAAATTCTATCGAAAGTTAGAGCTTTATCAACGTTTATTTCGTTGTTTATTTCTAAAACGAATTAATCGAAATATTTTTCTCTCTTTTACAATTTAGCAAGCAGCTTAACGAAGTTATCTTTAAATTTCCATGAATATAAGAACTTATTACGAACGCTCTGACATATTTTTTTAAGCAATGTTTCGCCATCAGGCTTTTCAGTACGGTTTACCTTCGATATACGCACAGAGTCTGAAGTAATTTACATTTTAAACGAAAGTATGCTTATCGTGCCACAACATTCTAAAAAAACTTTTTAAGTATTTCCTGAAATTAAAATTGTACGTAAAATTGAATATTACATCTTCTTTTTCTTCGCTCAATGCGACGAATTACTAAAAGACAATCGGTGGCAGTAAAGATAGCTCATGAACAAATGACTTCTCATTGGCAAAGTTTTAAAACGGATAAAGATATCAAGTGACGGATATTACATATATATAAGAGGGGGAGAAAGAGAAAGACAGAGAGAGGAAGATAGGATTCGACCAGATATGGATGGTAGGGAGTTGGTGCGAGATAGCATCCATAAATTAGACGTATCGCGGCCAGACTTTCGCGCTCATAGGCCGCAGGTGCTAATTAACACGAAAAAATTTCTACAATTGTACGATAGCTTATAAAGTTAAATTGTTGAAAAATGTAACGTTTTGCGAACGATACTCGAAAGCGATTTAATACCGTATGTGGATTTAAAAATATATATGTAATTTGAAGTAACTAGTAAAAAAAAAAAGAAAAAAAAAAAGAAAGAAAGAAAAGAAGAAAACGAACTCGTCATCTGCGAAGATAATGATATAATAAATGTGTTCGAACGTAATCAAACTCCAGAACTTTCTGATGCAGGCAGGCTTACACGGGTTAACTGGACGCATAGAATTCAACGAAGGTAAAAGAAATAATTTCAAATTGGATCTACTCAAGTTGAAGAAAGAAGATCTTGTGAAGGTAGGCGAATGGAAGCCTGGAAGCGGCGTTAATATCACGGATGTGGGTGCCTTTTATGAAACGACGGCGACAAATATCACGCTAGTCGTAATGACAAGAGAGGTAAATCATAGTACAATCGAATTAGCCATTTTTCTTTAGTAGAAGTGGAAGAAAAAGAGATGAAACCGGACCATTAATCAAATATCAAATATTAGTACGAAATGAAATAATATTTCCTGAAATTCATGGCGGTATTATAATCTAACAATTATAGAATTTCACAATCATTACAATGTTCAAATTCACTAAATACCTATATTTTATTCGTCATTTCATTGTTCATTACTTAATTTACAAAATCGCAGATCTTTTATAACATATTTATCTCACGCATGTATATTTTTCTAAAAGAACTTATGATATATATTTTATGTTTTATTACACTCACGATAGGAATGTTTAATCCATGTTAAAAGCTTCATAAATGAATTGCATCCATTAATCAAGATAAACACGACGTACAGATAAATCGGAGATTTACAGAATGAATAATGTAAAAGTCATACATTCAAACTGCGCTTAAAGACAACGAACAGTTAAAACTGTTTGATATTTTGGTATATCGTAATTTCTTTTCTCGCTATACAATCTTTTGTATTTTTTTAATCCAGACCTATAGTATGTTTAAAAGAAAAATTTTTATATTACAATTACAAAATGCAAAAAGTGTAATTACATTTAAAAAGAAATTATTTTTAACAATATATTATTGGTTATTCATAGGAGAGACCATACGTAATGGTAAAGGAAGATAAAAATTTAACCGGAAACGCAAGATTCGAAGGATTTTGTATCGATTTACTTAAATGGATTGCCGGACAAGTTGGCTTCCAATATGTTATTCGTTTGGTACCCGACCATATGTATGGAGTTTATAATCCTGATACCAAAGAATGGAATGGCATCGTACGCGAGCTCATGGAAAAGGTAAGCCACAACGAATTTTATTTGACATTAAAAACATTATTATAAGTCCTTATTAACATTATATCCAATATACACAATAATGTTAATAATATATATATGCATATATCTCTATCATACAATAATATATAATAATATAATAAAAGAGGTATATGGGAAAAAGATAATAAAATCATGTATAAAAAGTAACAAAAAAAATTAAAAAAGAAAAAAAGACAGAAGAAGTAATATCAAAAATCGGTAAAGTCATGTTCATGAAGAAGTAGAGGTTAATTTTATATGTAAAGCAGTCTCGGGTACCGACGCAATAAATCTGTCTCTCGGAAAGAAAATTCATTATGCATACTGCTACACAACGATCATCTAATTTAATGTGTCTCCCTGAAAAAAAAAAACGACTATATCCAATATTCCAATTCGTAGATCGGTTCACAGATGTTACATACGCCATTTGAATTGTAAAAATACGGACTTACTGAAATTAAAATCCGATACGTATCTGTCCACGTAGATTTTATTTTTAAAATTTCCACAACTTTTTTCAGACGTTATGTTTAAAAAGTCTTGAATATTTTACAAGAAACTTCCTGACATATCGAACTATCATTTATTTTTCTATTTATTTGTAATATTAACGAAAGGTTTCTCGATAAAGAAAATAGAAGGTAGTACAATATTTCACTATTTTGGTGCCACGTTTAGGTCAACGTCTCTATAAGAAGCATTAAAAAGGAAACGTGGACAAAAAGCATTCCTTCGAGAGACTTCAAATGAGCATATTTCAAATGCAGAGAAGAAAATTGCTGCACTTCGCCGTCACATTCCAATGTTACAAAGGCGTAAAAAGGGAGATACTTTAAAGGCACAAAGCAACTTAGAAAGCCTCTTTTATTGCGTTTTAAGGATTTTATTATCGCGAATTAAAGTGTTTGCGATAATTATCAAGAGATTCAAACGTTAAATTACACGGACGTCGTTTTAAAATTTCTTTTAGCAGCTTCTTATTTAATTCTCTCCAATGAGAAATAATAAATTTAAGTCTTGGAAATTAATTAAGAGATTCATGCAATTATTACATTGATTATATAAATTGCAACGATTTTATGAGAATCTGTGAAGAAAGAATTTTCATATCTTTCTTTTCGAGAAATGAAACGATTTGACGGATCAATAAAACTCACTCTGTTGACGAGTGACATTGAAAATTACTATGGAAATAAATTCACCTTCAAATCCTAAAAAATTCGCGTCTTTCACAATAACAGTAGTGCCGACGTAGCTACTTTCCTAACTCCAAAGATCAGCATTTTATAAAAGATCAGCATTTTATAAAAGATGTAGAGGTATCTGACCTTCCTAAAAAAGAACGACACATTAACCTAGAAAACACCTTCACTGTGAGTGGCAGAACAAAGAGGGTCGTTCTTTTATAAGTCATATATACTTTTCATTTTTTATTATGAAATATATATATATATACATTTTATAAGAAATATATACATATATATCTATTTAATATATTTATATTAATAAATATATATACATATATTATGTATATATATTTACTAATTTACAAATTAAATATATTTATTCCGAAATACTCTTACTTTAAAATACATATACTTATCCGATCTCCAGTAAGTCCTTTCAGTAAATATTTCTTTTTATAATACCTTCTTCTCAAAAAAAAAATAAAAAAACATCCGCTTGAAGGTAATCAATAACAAATATTTACGTAAGAAATTAAATTTTAATGTATTTCATTTGTAATTTACAGAGAGCAGATCTTGCAGTTGCTTCTATGACGATCAATTATGCCAGAGAAAGCGTAATAGATTTCACGAAGCCTTTTATGAATCTTGGTATTGGAATCTTGTTTAAGGTGAGGTAACTTTAATATCATTTCTTATATTTTTTTTTTTTTTTTAATTTTCGTTACATCTTCTTTCATTATATGATTCGTTTAATTTAACGAATACTATTTCTTTAACATAAAGTTTGAGAGATATTCCTTCTCATTAAAATAATATAATAAATTTGATGTTAATAAATGAATAGCTTATAGACATTTTATCAATCCTAATAATATGTTAAGTTAAGCGCAGATAGATTTCTGAATTGTTGTATTATAGTACATATTCATAAAGTCTATGGCTTCAAAATTAATTATTAATACAATTTTATATTCGCTGATGAAAGTCATCGTTCATATTATAATTATTTACTTAAATTTAATGCGACATACGTGTACATACTACAACGTATATATTGATTTAACTCGACGAGAAATAAAGACTAAAATATTCACGAGTCTACACAATGTATAAATTAAAAAAAAACAATGTTATTATATGAAATATCATTCGATCGAAAAGAAATATTTTATATTAATGAAATACGAAGAAAAGAAATTATTTTATATAATTCTTCAACGAATACCATTTTCAATTTGAAATAAATGCATAAGATACATACATATGTGGCAACAATACTTACATATATCTATATGATGGTAATTTAATAATACATAAGCGAATGTTCCTTTGATACAATAAGGAAGTTCTTTTTCCATTTATATAAATGATATCTGTATCTTACAATATTTTATGGGTCAAAGTATGATCGTATATTTTCTGAAATCGCTTCTGTTATGATGAAATAATCTAAGTACATAGATAAAAAAAAGAACATTTTTTCCTTTAAAATAGTCTTTGTTTCAGCTCTGTAAGACTTTCCGTTCAGAAGATATGAACATTTTAATTTGCCATTCATAATTCTCAATAATCACGTGATATTTGTAGTAACGTGCGTACGCAAGTAGTATGTAGTAAATACAATTGAGTTCCAAGAATTTATGTAGGTCACTGTGTCAAGACATTTTTTTGAAAGAAATTATATAGTGGGATCAATATATTTATATACTTTTCACTTATATTAGAATATCTCCGGAACTAAAAGTCGTAGAGACTTCAAATAAAAACCATTTTAAAGGGAAAATTTTTCTCCATTTTACAATAGTATCAGTAATTGTTAATTAACAATTGGTTATAAACAATTTGTTATAAATAAAAGTTAAAAATTTTACTTGATTAATTTTATCAGATAATTCATACTGCTACTCATATACACGTATATATACAATTATAAATTTAATAATTTTTTTATAAACAATTAGTTATAAACAATTTATTGTACACTTTGCAAAACCAATTTTTCCGAAACTAACTTCTCAGTTTGTATATATTTAATGTTCAAATTTATGTTGAACAAAACCTGTTAATAATTTTTATAAACAATTTCTTATAAACTAACATTATTTACTTCATATTCTATCTAAAAACAAAAATATGATCGCATAACACATTGTAAAATAAGGGATATATATATATATATATATCCCCGATGGCTATATCAATATAGCCATCGATCTATGCAGATTTCATTCGCGAGATCCTTTTTAATTAAAATCGTAGTATAACGTAATTTAGGTGCCATCCAGTCAGCCGACACGACTCTTCTCCTTCATGAATCCATTGGCGGTGGAGATTTGGTTGTACGTATTAGCCGCGTACATGTTGGTCAGCTTTACACTCTTCGTGATGGCAAGGTTCAGTCCTTATGAATGGAACAATCCACACCCTTGTTTAGCGGATAGCGATGTCGTCGAAAACCAGTTTAGCGTTAGCAACAGCTTCTGGTTCATCACCGGTACTTTCCTAAGGCAGGGCAGCGGGCTCAACCCCAAGGTACACTCAACGAGGTGCTCCACATTGGACTACTTCTTTAACTTTCGGCTAACCACTACTCCCATTCCCTCTTGCACTTTTCCTTCAACAACAAACTTACTTTCTCTCTTTCTCTTTTTTTTCTCTCTTTCTTCCTTTCTTCCTCTCTCTCTTTCTCTCTCTCTCTCTCTCTCTTTCTTTTTCTCTTTCTCTCTCTCAATCCATCGCTGTTCAACAAATTTCCTACGCACATTCACTTTCCTCTACTTCCTACTATTGCTTAGTCGGTAAATATTCTCACTGCTCGCATATAACTTTGCTTTTTTTAACCCGAAACATCTAAAACCACACTTCGTATATTTGCTAGGTACTCGAAAGTTTCGATCGTTCGTGAAACTATCTAAAACCGTATGGTTTTACTACTCGCTGAAATAACGAAAGATATTTTCGAACGATATCTTTTCGAATTTTTTAATAATACGTTTTCATTATCATTGCATCGGTTCATCTTATAAACTTGCAAGATCTTTTAATTGATAATAATTAAAAATATACGATAATTAATCCTAACTTCTAGATTTAAAATCGATGCCTTTATGCAACAGAACAGTGACTTAAAGTTCGATTTAAACCTGTCACCACAAAGCCACCGGGTCTTTTCTCGAGTTTCACAACTTTTCGAAACTATCGAAACTATCGAAACTATTGATTTTCTCGTAATCATTTCCTTCGTATAAATAAAAATTCGTAATTTAAATGTATCACTGAAATTTTATTCGCATAAGATTTATTGTCGATAATAATTCTTGGACGTATTTTTCAAGTTGGACGGAAGATGAAACGTTCAACAAGAATTTCGACTATTTTGCAAACGAAATTTAGTTTTCTTTTGTATATACATAGCTCAAAAACGGATATAAATAAGTTGATAAAAAAGATGACGAATAGAAGACATAAGCTCAGTTTGCATTTGCGGACATCCTAGTTGGATCCACGATCTACGTGAGCACCAATGGGAAACGATAAATCGTGTCAGAGTTTGTCATTGCATCCTACTTGCACATTGCAGCTGAGCACCCAATGTTTCCATATTTTTTTATATTACCAAGTTTAGTACTTTAATCTTTTATTTTTCTTTTTTTTCTTTTTTCTTCCTTCTATTTCTTTCTTATTTTTTTTTCTTTCTTTTCATCATTATCTTCGTATTATACGATACTCTACTTCGGATAAATATTCTTTTTGAACTCTTACTGAAATCGAACAAGCCCGATTGTAATCTCACTTGCGAATCGTTGAGTCGATAAGTCCTTTCGATTTCCATGCTAATCGACTATTCAACGTGATACTCGTGTTACAATTTTGAGTATACGTCTGTGTATATACATAGTTATTTTCCAATATAACGGTAAATTGGCTTTTCGATAAACGGAAGCATAGGAAGAAAATGTATGTACAAATGAAAATCATACAACAACAATTCTGTTTATCGTTTTCCCGTATTTTTCATCATCAAGACCAACGTAAATATGAAAAAGTAAGCTCGTTATTATTATTATACACGCAAATATTACTTTTTCAGCATTATTTACTTTTACCACTTTTATATGTTTTGAATCATATTTTGGAATCTCTTTGATAAAGTTTAAAGAAATGCATCATACAAATTATGAATGAATTGTTAAAAGCAAAAAAAGAAAAAATATTGAAACGAATCGAATACGTTCGTATGACATTCTGTCTACAAAGACGTATGTATAAATATATTTACATATACGTGAAATATTGTTAATATTTTTTCACGCGTTATAAAGCTCTAACTTAAACAATATTGCGATGATCCTTTACCTGATTTAATTACAATAGAAAATTAGATATTTTTAATGATTAGGTAATCGTAAAAACACAAATTCTCTGTTGTTTTTTCTATTATCCATTATTCATTATTTAATGAAAGTTATCGTGATCATAATAGGACATAAGAAATCTTTACTTTTGTAATTGCATGTTTTATTTGCTTTTGAAAAAAAAAAGAAGAAACTGAAAAATGTTTTCATCGCTTGAATGAAATATTTTTATTTTCTTGTATATCTAACTCGGTTTTTAATCGAAGGGAGAATTCGTTGAAAACGCAACGAACGCATAAAGGAATCGTATTATTGCGTTCTTGGAATAGCGCGAAGATATAAACTTCGAAATATAGACTTGATTATACCTTAAATTTGAATAGCTCGCACTTCATGAATTTTCGATTCATTTTCCAAGTGCTTCTGAAATGTTCAAAGAACAAAACGCGTACCATGATATAACGTAAAATAGGAAGATATCTAAAATGATATCAAACGAGAAGTCGAATGAGAAAATCTTTCAGTTTAAAATAGCTCTCTCAAATTTACGCGATGAATTCCAGTCGCGAGAAAAGGGAACGAAAGGAAAAGTTTAGTCTTTAATGGAAAAGGCGCGAATAGTCGGAGCTCTATTTTAACGCTTCGTAGCTTCGATTTTATCGCTTGACGAGTCTGTTAAATTAAATCGAATTCATTGCCGACGGTTCTTCTCTTTATCGGGTATTATTTAACAGCTAAAACAAGAGAAAGTTTTTCAAAAATAATCCTTCTGCGAAGTGAATGCCGCGATCGTTCGGCTTATATTATATTAATGAAACAAAATAACTTCGTTACATTAAAATTTTACTTGGACTATTTCGATTTTATTTCTACGTTTTTTTATAAAAATATCTAATCGATATAAACGAAGAATTTGTGTTCGATTTTATAAGATTTATAAATTACTTTCGAAGAAGTGAAGATATTTCGTAGAAGAAAAAAAATGAAAAATAAAAATAAAAATAAAATTGGCATAAAAAAGACGATAACAGTTGTTATCGATTATTATCGTATCGAAGATTGCTCGCAGATTTCTTTCTCTTTATTTCGTATAAAGGATCTCGTTACCATTTTCCTCAGGCGACCAGTACGAGAATTGTTGGTGGAATATGGTGGTTTTTCACACTCATAATCATCTCCTCGTATACGGCAAATCTTGCAGCCTTTTTAACGGTTGAAAGGATGATAACGCCAATAGAAAATGCTGCCGATTTGGCGGAACAAACCGAGATATCTTACGGCACTTTGGAAGGTGGCAGTACAATGACTTTCTTTAGGGTAAGCCTAAAATTTACATTTACAAAATTAAAAATTTTGTTACATATAAAATATCATTTTATTCTCTACCTTATAACGATTTGCCGATTGGTAGGATTCGAAAATTGGAACTTATCAAAAAATGTGGAAATTCATGGAATCGAAAACTCCTTCTGTTTTTGTAAAAACTTACGAGGAAGGGGTAAAGAGGGTATTGGAGGGTGATTACGCGTTTCTCATGGAATCTACGATGCTGGATTATGCAGTCCAAAGAGATTGCAATTTGACACAAATAGGAGGTTTATTGGATAGCAAGGGATATGGAATAGCAACGCCAAAAGGTAATTTAAATCAATGAAAAGGCATTAATTTTAATGTACAAACGAGCCACTTTTTATCCTAATTTTTTGTTACTATTTCGCTCGCAATTTTTTTTTAAGGATTGCTGGTTATTTAATATTCATTTTTATAAGCAACGCGAAAAATCATGCTACTAAAGAAAAAACTCGAAACACATACTTGCCTACTGGGCACCTTATTCATTCTACCCTTTACAATCACGCTTCTATTCATAGTATGTTCTAATAGAATACGTGTAAAAAGAGAACGCAAAGGTCATTTCTTTTTTACTTAAGTATAGCAGTTCTCTTAATTACAAATATGCGTTTACATTGAAATTGTCATTAAAAAGTACATGAGTATTATTACCGTGAAGCATTCATTACTTTCTTTTTTTCTATCGTGTCCAAAAAGAAAAACACGTACGTCGAGATCGATCAACTTTCCAAACTCATTATTCTTTTCTTGAAATGAAAAAAAAAAAAGAAAAAAGAAAAAAGAAAAAATAATCTCGTCGGGAAGATTCAAAACGACCTTCTTACTTTTGTCTGTATTCTTGTAAATAAAACGAAAGTAAAGAAAGACGTAGAAATGAAAATTGACGAGAAGAGAGAGAACGAGAGAGAAAAAGAGAGAGAGAGAGAGAGAGAGAGCAAAGGATAAATATAGCAAAATCCTTGACCAAACTAACGAAGGCTTTTTATATGCAGGCTCACCCTGGAGGGATAAAATATCTCTAGCTATTCTCGAGCTACAGGAGAAAGGTGTAATACAGATCCTCTACGATAAGTGGTGGAAGAATACGGGAGACGTGTGTAACAGAGATGAAAAGAATAAGGAGAGTAAAGCTAGTGCTCTTGGGGTCGAAAATATCGGTAAGAAGATTTAAAAATCATTTATTTTTAATAACCTATCTTTCTTTTTTCGTGTTAAGTAAAAGAGAAAATCTAGAAACGCTTTTACGACAAGTCGATCCACGTTCTCTTCTTTTTTCTTCTTTTCTTTTTTCTTTGTCGTTCAGAAAACGATATTTTTCTTTTTCCTTTCTTCCTTTTTTTTTTTTTTTTGTACAAAATCCTTTACCGTTACTCGCAATTCGGAAAACTGCGAGGAAGAAAAATCGATTCTACGTCGTACTCGTAAATCCGTTCCACTGCGCAACAATGATAGCGAACGTACGAGTTAACATGCAAATGCTTTACTACATCCTTCAAATGTAAACGCGAAGGTTGTACATAAACTCGAAGATCGTTCCAACCAGAAACATCGTATTTACCGCAAGCTTAAGAAATTTTGAAAATCTCAACGCACCTCTGACGAACGTTATATTTTATAAAACGTGTTACCTGATTTGTACGCATTATGCGCGTATGACTGCATCCTTGTAAGTGCATAAACCTTAAAGTATACATCCTATCATTTCGAATTTTTCACAGAAAGAAATTTAACGTTGGTATATCTGGTGTAACGTCAAGTGGAAAATTTAAAAAAGGTAGGAGGAAAAAGAAGGAAAAGGAAAAGATAGGTATTACCGATGAGAAATAAGTACATATAAGTGTGTACAAATTATAGAGTTTGTTCGTTGATACGATTATTGTCTGGTTGAGCAATAAAAAAGAAAATGCTTTCAACCGCAAAAGAAACACAAGGGAAAGAATAGGACGTTGCATTTTCATTTTCTCTGTGAGTTTTCAGTAACAGTCCTTCGAAGGAATCTCGCCTTATGACCTTCCTCGCTTTTCCCTCTTTTTTCTTTTCCTTCTCCCTCGATGTACTTCGTAAGTTAGATAAGTATACACTTTACCAGTGGCGGGAAGATACTCAACGAGATTGCAAAGAGGTCTCCACGACTTTTCAAGGAAAATCCCACTAAATTGTAGAAGAACTGCTAATTGCATGTTTCGACGATAACTCGACTGCCGTTTGCCTGGATCCGTAGGAGAATCTAACTCCAGCTGCCGGCTATTTATCTCTCGGTCTTACATCTCTAACGATCGTAAAGTGAAATTTTTCTCTTCTCTTCTGTCTCTCTCTCTCTCTCCTATATTAGTAAAAAGTCACAAAGAAAATTGAAGGAAAATTATACTTGAATAATATCATCGAATATTCTACGTCGTTGATGAGCGAACCGTCGACTAAATAAGCCGTTCCTGAATAAAAAAGAAAAAAAAAAGAAAGATAAAAAAAAAGAAAAGAAAAGATTAATAAATTATCTCGCGATTTATTAGGATTTACTCCTCTTAAACGTTTTAATTCTTTGCCAGTCCGTTTTATTCTTTTTTATTTTTGATACAAATCTTCTCGCGATCGGCGGTACGGAAAATGTCGTATTTCACTTGGGGGAAAATGTTCTGAAACTGCAACCGTGCTACTAATTGCTCTCTTCTTCAAGACGATGCCCTTGCTTATTCCCGGAGTAAAAAAAAGTAAACGTAACATCTTATATTAGTCGTCATCTTACATTCAAAGTTCTAACTGTACCGTACAAACTTTTCACCGTTTCCCGCATCTCGCTTTTTGTCAAAAGAACCCTGCCGTTATTAATCTATCACCTTATGTAATATTTTACTCGCAAAAGATACTATCAATGATTAAAACCAAACATTATTAGTTATTTAAATATATTTTCATTGAAAATTGTTTTACACGTTGATAGTTATTATCATTCGAATATTTATCTTTTACCGAAGAAACATAAACATTTAGGGAAACTTAGCATTGATTTAATTTATGATATCATAACTTCGGGACAGATCGAATTAATTTCGAAAATAAACTTTGCGGTTGTATCTGCATTTATGTTTAATGAATCTATATACTATAGCAAGAATTTACATTATGAGAAAATAATTCCGAATAAAATGAAATGTTATTTTCAAAGAGACGTCACAGGTACAATTTACAAACATCCAATTTAGCGCAATGTCCAATTCACATGGAATTAAAATTCTATCGATAATAACCTTCAATCGACTTGATTTCAAAGTTTCTATATATTTCATTTGAATGAAATTACATTTCGATCATACTTAACCGATTACTTGACAATAACATAATATGAAATTTTGACATAGAGTCAGAGAGTAATTCTCTAGTTCGTTCGTACTAGATCCAATCTTTGAGAGTCTTATTCCATTAATTTCCTCGTAATTATAACTTGAGAAGGTTTCTATGAACTTTCGCGAGAAAGGTTCGCGTAATTCGAACTAGTCGTGGCTAGTACTTGAGTTTCTGAAGGGATGTTGGAAAGGATCTCAAGGAATTCAGAGGTTCTTAGAATTCTAACGTACCTTTTGCTATCTTTGGTCAAAGAAAAAGACAGGAGAGAATCATGGATACGTAGATGGATTTACTACATATATATGTATATAAGTATATTATACAACCACACACGTATCTATATATATATATATATATACTACTCTTATAGATACATCCGCGACGGTCCGCGAAACTTGGTCTCTTCCGGTAATACTTTGTGAATGTGTCACCTAAATCACACGTTACGCGGTTATGCAAATTCTTCTTGAGTCCCTTTCGACCATCTCTGGGTATACATGTCGCCTAAAATTCATTCTACCAAAGAAAAAAGATATTACCTACTACTAGTACTTACTTAATTCCAACTCTACTAACTTATGACTCTTCATATAACTTACTACTATGTAGTAGTAATTTTCTTTTTTGTTTTCTTTTTTTTCATTTTTCTTCGAATCTATTATCAGGACAGGCAAACGGAAAACTTTCAACGAGATGATCACGTCGCGAGAAAAACTTTCTTTCTTGATAAAATACGTGCAAGTCGTTGCGATCGTCCTTCCGTTCAACTCCTTTCGAAAAGGGTAGAGTTCATTAGCGCGAAAGAATTTGAAAAGGTAACACGCTCCTCTCGTCGTATTTCTTTTCTCTTCTATAAGAAAATTTCTAAAGTTTTCCCTAGTCCATGTGCAAACTTGCCATCGATGAAAGAACAACTTTAAAAATCTTCTCGTATAAGTATATGCATACGTGGTTTAGTATGTACTGGATGTCCTATAAGAGTTTGGAAACATATAACAAAAGTATATTCCATTAAAAAAAAAACCTTTTTTTGTTAATGTAGCGAACGAGAACAATATATATATATATATATATATATATATATCTATATATGAATACATATATATATATATATATATATATATATATATGAATATATATATATGAATATATATATATATGAATATATATATATATATGTATTCAGTAGAAATATTTCGATCACGCCTGTGATTTCATATATCTTGAATTCTACAAATTCATTATCTCGAATGGATAATGAATTAAAATCAGTATAAATTTGATAACTTATGGAAACTGCATATACTCTGAATACGTTTATATACATGTAACCTCAGATTCACGCGGCTATGCGAAAATTCCAAAGTTCTACTTAACTTTCTAACCCGCTTACGGACCTTATTTCGTCGACAAAATTTATTCGTGAGTAATAAATTGTTGATTTAAGATGAACAATTATCAATATTTAAAAAAAGGTAATTCACGAGAATCAGCAATTCGTTCGTAAACAACAAAAAAAAACCGAAAGAAGATGAGAATAAATATCACAAATTAGATAATGAAAATTACAATTGAGGTAATGAAAATTATTTACGAGAAAAAAAGAAAAAAAGAAAGGGAAAGAAAAGAAAATCGATAAATCATTCGAATTATGAACGAAATTTCAACGGAAGTATACTCGAAAGCGTCTCCATTTCCAAGCTAACACCCAAGGGACAAAGTAGTTTTCTAGCGATAGCCACGATACGCTCTTCTTGGATATTGCTCGCACGATTTTCTCTTCTGCTCCATCCCAATGCTTTCTCTCTCTTTCTCTCTCTCTCTCTCTCTCTCTGTATATATATATATATATATATATATATATATATATATATACACACACACCTATATCTCTCTTTTTCTCTCTCTCACAGTTCAAACTTTTTCTCTTTGGATGTTTCCCTCGACTTTCGTCTTTTCTTTGTGAAACTTTGTGAACAAAGGAAAAACGAAAATGAAGAGGAAAAAGAAAAAGAGACAGAGAAAGAGAGAAGGAGAAAGTGAAAAAGGATGGGGGCAAAGAATAATAAGAAACAAAGAAACATGAAATATAAAGAAAGAAAGATCCACAAGTCAACATTTCGGTGTTCCTAGCATCTAACAGCGTTTAGATTAAAAATTCTTAAGTTCTCTACGTACGGAATTAGAAATAGAAAACGAAAAAAGAAAGAGAGAGAGAAAGATATTGACACTAAAATAATGAGCTTCCACTTTTTGCCATTCTAGGTGGCGTCTTCGTCGTGCTACTATGTGGTCTTGCTCTAGCAATCCTAGTGGCAATCCTCGAGTTTTGCTGGAATTCGAAGAAAAACGTTCATTCCGACAGGGTAAGCGAACTTCATTCGATGCCTATAATTGCGCGAAACTTTTGTACTTTCTCGTTAAGTCGCTCCGCTGCATGAGCGTGAAATACTTGCTTTTCTTCTTCTCGAGCCTTCGCCTTTTTATCTCTCATCTATCTTTCTCGTCGTTTCATCACTCGACCATGATAACAAAAAAACAAAAGCCAATAATTTCTATGATAATAAGAAGAAATGTCCCCTTCTTCTTCTTTCTCTTCTTCTTTTTTTTCTTCTTCTTCTGACACAAATAAAAAAGGAAACGAAGAATAAGAAAAAAATGTTAAAGTTTGGGTTTGCGAGAGATTGAAAAGGGTGAAGTTAAAGGGACAAGAGGAAATCGTCGAGCCCTACTTGCATGCATGGTTGAATGATGGTTGTGATTATGTTGTGTATTGTCTCTTGGTGTTGCTGTAACCTGGTGGATTCTTCGTTACCTTCTCAACGATCGCAACATTCATCATCGACGACGATATCAACAACGGTAACGCACGCACGTTGCACCTGTTCCTACTATTACCATCGACGCGAATCTATTTCCCGTTCTCTCTCTCTCTCTCTCTCTCTCTTTCTCTCTCTCTCTCTTTCTCTCTCTCTCTCTCTATCCTTCCCTCCCTCTCTCCCTCCTTCCTCTCTAACCGGTTATCCTCTTTTCTCCTTATTACTCTCTCCGTTGCACACAAATAAACAAACATATACATACGCATACATAAATATACAAACATGTACTTACGTATATACGTACATATGCTTTCACATATATATATATACATATACATACATATATATACATACATATATATACATACATACATATACATACACATATATGCACCGTGCTTGCATGCGGTATATGATGGAACGGACCCTACAGTCACTCTGCGCCGAAATGTTCTCCGAATTGCGTTTCGCCGTGCACTGTGGATCGCGACAGAGGCCAGCTTCAAAATCGCGGAATTCCTCAGTCCCTGTATCATGCGGCCGTTGCAGTCCACATGCTACTAGAAGAAGGATGAGATATTATTCGAGTGGGCACGAAGAGACGACATATGTACCCAGCTTGGATATACCTAGGTTAAATGGTGTAAGTCCTGTCCCTCATAAAGGGCCCATCGACCAACGATCCTTCTTCTTTTATTTCTTTCGTGAAATATTATCATTTTTTCTTTCCTTTAAGCTCTCTATCATCTGACGTGCCGCGTGGTATACTCTCTTTTCTTTCTCTCTCTCTCTCTCTTTCTCTCTCTCTCTCTCTTTCTCTCTCTCTTTCTCTCTCTCTTTCTCTCTTTCTAATCTTTTTCACAATTCGTTATTTATTTCGAACAATATTTTTTTCGTTCCACTTTCTCTTATCGAAAATAAAGGGTCGCGTACGAAGCGAAAAACGTAGAAAGGGGACAAAGGATAATAGTATATGGTTACTTCGAGCACGAATGAATCGCGTTTCTCTCGAAAGAATAAGATTCGTTGGTCGTAGAGCCTGCACTCGTTTTCACGGTATGTAATTTGATTTTGACATTGTTCCTTACGAAAATAAAATTGTACGAGAAGCAAGCTCGTTCAAGTGAATGTTATTGAAAAGATATATTTTCACTTCCTCTTAATAACAAAAGAGAATCAATTTTTATTATTATCGTGAAAACAATGTTATGGCATTCATGGACCCAGAAATTTTCTTAACTGACAGGTAAGCTCGCATTATAAATCATCAAAAAAAAAAAATAGAATTGTTCATCATGAATACCAAGGAAGTATCTCAAATACGAGTGTCATTTTATTCATAAATAATTTCTTTATATCTCTCCATCTCGTTCTCTGTCTCTCTCTCTCTCTCTCTCTCTTTCTCTTTCTCTCTCTCTCTCTCTCTCTCTCTCTCTCTCTCTCTCTCTCTCTCTCTCTCTCTCTCTCTCTCTCTCTCTCTCTCTTTGGCGAATGTATCTTAACTTTCTCTGTCTTTTTTTCTTTTCATCTACTAAAAGTATTTTTATCAATATCAATAGTTTGAATTAGAATAATGAAATTTCAAAGTCAAGAACTAAAAAGATTTTTAAAATCACATAATATTTCTATGTGAAGAAGGCATTTTGCACACCACTGATCTATATTATATATTTCACGTTAAAACGGTTCAAAGAGGTGCAAAAGAAACGTCTTGGAGCGTAAAAAATTGTAGCCGCCTTGGAAAAAGAAAATCTGTGAATAGTGTTCGTGATAGCTACGGAAGTGATTTTTCCAGACCAGATCACACATTCAAGATCATCATCCAACATTCGCGATAGCTGCAAAAAAACGTTCGACTAAATATTTTTTTTTTTTTTACTAGGAATACAAATGCATATTATTTTTCAAAGAGTATATTATATACTTCAGAAATTATTTAGAAATATATCATATTATTTCTTAAAGAATATATATTTCACAGTGTACTCACAAAAAATTATAAACCGTATAGAAGTACATTAGAATGTCTTTAATCGAAAGAAAAATAGTGAATGAAAGTACGAAGGAAACTGATTAAAAGCAAGTTATAAGTTTTCACTATTTCTGTCTATCGTTTCTTCTTAGCGATCTATCATCGTGTACCTGTCACCTCGATTTAAAGTTTAATCAGAAGCAGAGAAGTTAGGAACGGTGCCTCGGTTTAACCTCATCAATAAATTTAATCGAAACTGTTCAACGAGAATTTACACTGAAAATCAAATATTTTGTTATTGAAATTTTGCAAAGAGGAATAAAACAAATAAAGTAAACAGAAATCGATAAAAATATACGTTTACGATACGTAACGAGCAATAAAAGATAATACAAAATATATAATTTCATTGGACGATAATGAATTAATTAATTGATTAAAATCACCGACGTAATACGATAAAGACTCGCTAAAAAAATGACATATTTATTTATATTTTACTTTTCATTATTATAACTGGATATATTAATATTATACTCGATATATCTAACACGCATATTTGTTCCTATCTCAGCAGGAGGGTGGTGCATTGCCGATGACGGAGATGAAGAAATCATTGAGCTTCGATCAAGTGGGGGCGGCCCGTGGCGGGAACACCTAGCACAGGCCTCATCCTCATCTTCGTCTTCAGCAACAGCAACAACAGCAGCAGCAACAGCAGCAACAGCAGCCACCACAGCCAGCGTGCAAAGTCACACCTACGCACACACGTCACATACACTGCCACTCTCATTCACACAATCACAGCCACAGTCACAGTCACAGTCACGCGCACAAGCACCAAGCAGCCCCACTGAAACAGAGACGGGGCTCTTCAGGCATCGTCTTGGGTCAAGGTTAGATGCGTTCGAT